ATTTGTGCATGGAATGAACGGCTAGAACAGTCCAAATATGTTTAGTGTGTTGGACATTGAAATATACTCTGATTTATTTACTCTGAGTGTATAAAGACATTTTATGTAATTCTTTTATAACAAATTTTCATTATACACCCAAAGATAATTATACATGTGTAAATATATTATACATCTATCTACAACACGCAAAACTTCTATTCTTAGGTGACATGTTTTACACATTATGCTTGCAGGTCTTGTAGTTTTTTACACGAAGGTGTTTCGAGATTTTTAGCTTTATAGAACAGTTCTTGATCTCCCAAATTACGGGCTTTCCACATTATACTGTCCCCTATTAAATTACATAGAAAATAAGTTTAAAATTTTCAGAACGTTTACAAAAAATTTATGTTGTTATTAGCATCATAGTATTAATAAAAAATATAATAAATATATTGAAAGAGATAAATGAAATAAATATACGTACTGTAATTTTTCTCTCTGGCGCAAGTTTGCCTCAAGTTACTCACATACTCTTCTTCAATTGAAATTTCTAACCTACGTAAACTGCCTTGATATTCACTATGAAAGTTCTCCTTAACATAATATGATACTTTCAAAGCCTGAGTTGTTCTGGCCACAGAATATTTCCTATAAGTAAGAAAAAAATCATTAAGTTTAAAAATCCTACAAAAATCTACATTTGTATTAATTATTTGTCGATCATACTTACGAACTTGCATGTAGACTATATACTGGATCGGATATGAAAAAGCTGCTCATCATGGTTAACATTATTAGTAACAGAACTGGTAACATCTGAAGAAATGTGGTATATCCATTTATTTGCTGAAAAATGTTACATCATGAATGGAAAAAAATAAGAAGTACTTATTGTTAAAAATTATGCTAAAACTCAAATTTCTTGGTGCTTTACCTGAGAATGAGCATGTTGCGCTTGCGCATCTGTCTGACGCATCCACCTTCCACCTGGCCGACGCATATAAAATTCTTGTTGTGGAAAACCAACACCGAAAAACATGTTGAATAATTCTTCGGCTGTGATATCGGCTAAAGAAGAGACAGATTATGTTTCGATGAATAAACTTGTACAATGTATATCTCTGCATATGAATCGCTATTTTTCACTAACATTGTATCTACTTCTATAATGCTTTATCCGCCTCACTTCCTGAAGCTTTGCTTCAGAATATAATAAAATATTTCAGTTTCGCTTTTGATTATAAAAGTCGTTCAATTTCTTTGCCGGATTTTGATATCGTTACATGTTTTTTGCTAACGCAATGTGAACTACGGAACGCTTACGACTTACTTGTTCGCAGGATCACAGCAAATTGACGAAAATTGTCATAGTTATCTGTATCATAGGATTCATGAGGATGCCCTTCATGAAGATCTGTTTTTTTTTTATGGTTAAAGGCTGAACTAATGTACATTTTTGGAACTTGAAGTGAGATAGGTATATGTTTTAATAATTGGCGAAAGCGAAAGACAGTTTTAGTGAAGTCTAGTTCACGAATAAAAACCAGATGTATAGTATAATAAGACAGTGTGAAACATTGCGCATAATGAATAGCATATTGGAAACAACCAATCAAATTTGGATCCAAATGCGCTTTCCTGCCTACAATAGCATACTGGAATAACAAATTGCAATGCTACAGCTACTTGAAATTTTGATTATTCCTTAAAAGATCTACAGTTCACACGCAGAGTTGCGTTAAAATTCAACTCTGTCAACTTGAGTCTTATTATCCTTGTTGGTCCGAATGTTGAATAAAGATAAAAGATATTCGGAATTGACAGAGTCAAGTTTTGGAATACATCCCAGGAATATAGGTTTTTTTTTCTTAAGGAGATTCTCACGTTTAAAATATAAGATGAGTCTATATATAATATATAATATATATGCAATACAAAAGTTAATAATATCAATAATATGTAGAAAAAAAATTTCATTGATTTTTACTGTACCATATAAAATTAACAATAATTATGAATAATAGCATAAAATATTATTAGTAACTTTTTTATTCCATTATTTTAATTGTTATACATATTCTTATGAACAAACTGTTAATTAGGAAGTAGTGCGAGAATCTCCTTAAGTCTTTTAAACTTCTTTTACCTTCAAATCCACGGGTATAATTGTAATGTGTATGACCTTGGCGGTTGTGTGCATTCTGCACTCGTTCTTCTTCGGGACCATATGTGTCGTATTGTTTCCGTTTCTCCGTATCGGTAAGAATAGCAACAGCATTGCCAATAGCTGTAAAAAATCAATTTTTTACATGTAAATATATTCGCTCTACTTTTTAAATAGATTTAATAAACTCTATTTTTTAAATATATTTTGATGTACCTTTAAAAGCTTCGGCAGCGCCTGGTGCTTTATTTTTATCAGGATGTAATTGAAGTGCTAATTTCTTATAAGCTTTTTTAATGTCGCTGTCTGTAGCATCTTTACTGACTCCTAAAATCTCATAATAATCTTTGCATTTTTTTATCCTACAATAATAAAAAATTCATCTAAATCATTTATTACAAAATAATTAAAATAATTAAAAGATAATAATTGAAGAAGTAAAATATAGATCAAACGTGAAAAAATAAATATTTATTACAATATAAGCTCATTTATTACAATATAAGTAAAAATATTGAAATTTTTTACTTGATTAAAAAAAATAATGGATTATAAAGAAAAAAAATTTTAAAAACATATTTTTATTCTTTTACAATTAATTATTACAGCAAAATTGTATTGAGATTAATATTAAAAGATTTTAATGATTCAGTATGAGTTCATTCAAACTTATTTTTTTTAGAAAACTTTGTTTTCCAAATTGTATTATTGTATTATTGTTGTAATTTTATAAATGAACAATATATATTATATAAATATTATAACTATTTTAACTCTATAATACACTGGAGCAAGTCATCGAAATGTTCCAATCCTTAGACAATGACACTTTAATGCAAAGAAAATATTGTTTTCTTTGTTAGGCATTCACTGATTGGCTAATGTTATTTTAGCCATATTTATCATAAATAGGAAAGAATCAGAACAATAAATATTTATCTTCTTTTTTTCTATTGGACTGCAGTTTTCTATATTTTAGTACAAAGAAAGTGTGCTCTGATATATATATTGTAGTTCACTGAATTAAAACAATTTACCTCTTTACATGCTCCAACTGTTCTTTGGAATACTCTGAGTTACCCTGGGAATATGTACTGTCTTTAGCTATATTTTGTCGCTTTCTAACATTAGATTCAGTCGTCTCAGATTTCTGGTTCTGCTTTGAGAGTACCGTTACTTCCGCCAATAGTTCTACAAATATAATTATGATTCCTGTAATCACCATCATTCTGACAAAAAGAAGAAACATGTGTATTCTTGCATAAGTTTTATTTTACCTAAATGTATGTGGATAATGTAAAAACAAATTCGTGAATAGAGTAAATTCATTATATTATAAATAATAAAAAGACGAAGGAAAATCAAGTATATAAAGGATAAAAAATAATTTCATTATACATATATTATATATATACATATATAAT